CAAATACCAATATCCACTGGTACTCAGCATTCTATCTACTGAGGTGGTTAGAGCATAGAAAGTTGTTAAGCACAGGTGTTGAACAGCTTACATCCGGATACAGGCTTTACAGTGGGAATTTAAAAAATCTGTACGGCTATCACTTTCTCTCTCTTTCTACATTAAGAGAAAAATACATAACTTGGCCCACCTCTTAAACCATTCACAATAAGCTCACTATAAATTCCCAACAAATTTCACTTATACTTAGGTCTATATGAAATAACCTGGGTAGAGCTCAAGCATCACATACATTCCTCATCTGACAAATGAGGACATACCAATCCTTGAGATCTTTGATCATTTTAGCCCATAGCACCCCTCAGCTAGCGCCATAATTCAAATTCACAGCTCCTGGTCACCAAGCCTTTGACGGCTCCAACCACATATAATGCTTCTCTAACACTGTATTTTCCAAATCTAACTGTGAATCAGAACTACGAAGGGATGCCTTGGCCTACCTCTGATTTATTAAAACTGGAAAGTACTGTTCTAATCCTATGTAATAGAGTTCAGCCTGCCATTTAACATTCTAATATCTAAAATGATGGCCCAAAGGATGAAGAAACAATTTATAAGAATTCTTTTTTACACCATCATGTAAAACTGGTTCATGTCTTTGTCCCTTTAGAGTAATTCTGACCTCAATTAAACTTTGCTTTGTCAAACAAAATCACAAATTTCAAATCCAGTTGGAAAATAAATCAAATATGCACACCAAAAAGTAGACTCAGGCTTCAATTAGTGGAATTTTAACAGAAACCTGGGCAGAGGAATCACTTCCTATAAAAGAAAAAACAAGCCATGACAACTATCTATTGAACAAAACTATCAGTCCCTTTCCCTATTTTATAAAGTAAAATTAATAAATATAAAACACAGGAATACAGATGAGGCAACAGTCTAATAACAAGTGGGGTCTGCTTTATGTATGTCAAACCTGAATAAAATACAGGTAACAATCTAAATTCAATCATGACAATAAAATACTTTCCATTTTTCCAAGTCTGATGGTAATATTTACAATTTTAAAAATAGCCTTTGCTCACTTTTTTGTTTTTTAAAAAGACATAACATGCTCAAGAGTACACAGATATGAAAAAAAATTCACCACTCTGTCCAAGAGATCATATAGTATAAAACAATGCTCTTACATATTAACCCAATTCAAGAATGATATCAAGGAATCTAACAGTGTTTACTTCATAGATGACATTCAAATATGTTATTTAGAACACTATACCTAATGTAGCTATCAAAAAGTAAGCACTGCTAATTTTTGTACCTTTCAATATCTTCTATATCCGCCACCTCCACCACCTCCTCCATATGGATCTCCATAACCTCTTCCACCATAGCCTCCTCTCCCACCATAGCCCCCTCTCCCACCATAGTCTCCCCTCCCACCATAATCTCCCCTGCCTTGGA